CCTGATTCTGTGTTTGCATCATGAATTATGAACATAGACTATTCCATGTATGATGTATAATATGATTAGTAATGTAATTTATATTCGAATAGTTCTATCGTAAATAATTCGAATATTTGTATATTCGAACATTCAAATATCAGTATTCGATGCTACAATACCTAATATGTTTTATCCGTTTTCCACTGCAAGCTTTTTATAATATTTATTATTATTCACTAATTCATATCTACACAACTAAAGATAATGTATGCCAATGATTAAGCGACCTAAATACGAAAATAGTTCTTATCTTGCAGGTACCTGTTCGTATAGTTACCATTTATTTATTTATTATATTTTTGTTGTAACTTATACATTATTATTAATAATAATTTAATTATGATATTCTGGTATTTTGCTCAATTTTTATTTTTGTATTTTAATAAATTGCCCTGTCAAATATGAAATAGTAAATATCGTTGGCTTCGAATCCACTTCTCGCAGGCCTTCATGCGCCATATAATATTATTATTAAATGTTTTGTGTTGCGTGAAAACTTAAAAGAATAATTTWCGTTGCGTATTGTATTGTAGCATCGAATACTGATATTCGAATGTTCGAATTATTTACGATAGACCTATTCGAATAATTCCCATCACTAATATGAATACATAGTTAAATAAAATATTATTTTCGTTCGTAGTTTGAACCTTACCATTCAGTATCTAATTAGATACAGACGATACAGTGTAATTATGTGGTTTTTAATATTTACGTATTACATTTAGGTACGCATTTGACATTCGACCAGAGGCACCAGAATTCAGAATATGAATATAATTCGATGTGCKTAAAAAAYTATAGTTACAGGTTACAGAATTGCACAATATATATTATGTAGACTGTAGTTAAAGATCCTATATAAATAAAAAAATTGTAATCATATTTTACAATTATCTTAAATTATGCATAGACATATAAATATATGTATATATTTATATGTCTATGAAATTATGGTGTGGACAATGTCCACTGTGCAGCGCCACGGAAGGCACCATTGCACAGATTATCACTTTATCACTTTACGTATTCACGTTGGCCTTGGCGCTTGATATATTTTGTTGTTTTTTTCTCCTTTAGTTCGTACTTTGTACTCGTCGTCCGTCGKTCACTCGTCATTCCAATCCAATTCCGAGTCGGCAACTAATACCACCATAGACGCGCACCTAACACCACTACACCAGCTGCACCGGTCACGAGTCAGTCACTACTCGATTGTATATWATTAATAACATTAAGTATAAACCATTTTCGTTGAACGGTAAAGTACTCAAACATACTTACACATAATTTATCATAATATAWWCGACATACGTAATCGTAAATAACTGCGTTAAACTTTTAAACTGATAATATTATATCTCTTATATTGTAATTAAACCGAGCTTTTTTCAACCATGTTTTGTTCTATTGGGGCGTTACAGAAGACATTGAGTGCAGCCCCGTCCACCGTACTCGGTACAATAACTAAACGTCTATTAAGCGTCAGCCAGACTTCCAAAATGCCCGTCAAAGTAAGATCTATTTAAATTATTCAAAAATGATTAATTTATTTTCATATTATTCTATTTTGATAGGTAGGAGATACCGTACCCAGCATAGACTTGTATGAAAACACACCTGCTACAAAAGTTAACATTTCGGAACTGTGCAGTGGAAAAACTGTCATACTTTTCGCTGTTCCCGGAGCATTCACTCCAGGCTGCTCAAAGGTAAGTGTTCTTACTATAGTATTATTTAATGTGTTGATTACCATTTAAACATTATCAAATGAAATGCTTTTAGACACATTTGCCTGSCTATGTAAACACTGCTGCTGACTTGAAAAGTAAAGGTGTAGATGAGATTGTCTGTGTTTCTGTGAATGATGCGTTCGTCATGGCAGCTTGGGCTCAAGATCAAAAAGCTGAGGGAAAAGTAATTTTTTTAAATTATCTCTAATATCATTTTACAATGTTACAAGTGCAATAGTGAAAGATCTCCTTTTAAGCTGCRTATTTTGTTTGAATTTTTCATCTATTTTCAGAAAAATCAAATATTTATAGGATATTTAATAGTAAACAGTAATCAATGATGACGATCGTGACTATTCTAATATTATAGACAATTTATACCTGTACATACATTCTTACTAACTTGTCAATTATATTTTATTGTCTGTTTGAGTTGGACTTAAATGAAAAAATGCAGACCAGGCCTTAGGTGGTTTCAATTTTTTAATTTAAGTTTTGGATTAAATGCTAATGCTGATCCTTTGTAACTATTTTATGAATATGTTTTTAAAAATAAA